CATAGCCAATTATAAAAATATTGTCATTTAAGATATTATATAATATGAGCATTTTTGTTATAAAATAAACATTTCAGAATAAAATAATTGGCACATATTCCATTTTTAATTGAAACTTAATGTATTTAATTGTTTATTAATTACATTTATTTACTAATATATTCAACACAAACAACTATTTAATTCACTCAATTGTAAACAATATGTATTGTTAGTAGTAAGTATTTATTGTTTTTATTTTTATTTCATATTTGTATAATAAAAGTTTCTACTACGTAAAACAAGTTTATTTGCAGCTACTATATTTCTTCTTTCTCAGATTATAAATAATATAATAATTACATTAAGGTACAATTAATACTTTATAAATAATTTAAAATTAATTAATCATGTTTAATAAAGTATTAAATGCTTTCAATCGAATACTTATTGAACTCTGAAGATTTATTCTAAATTGTTATCTAGTTTGATTGAAACGCCCAATTAAAATTATGTTTCTTAAATTTAATATTTAAAGAATAAGTGAAATACCAAATAATTGCATTTTTATATCGCTCATAATTTGTTACCATATGAATCAAAAGTATAAATAATAAAATCAGATTTATTCTAGAATAGAATCGAAGTTATAAAATACATAAATTATATTTCATTCGATAAAAGATTTAATTATTATCTAATGTATTATTTATTTTATTTTATAATGGAATATTTTATAGTAAATAGAGTTTGTTCATGAATGGTTGAGGTAACTTTTAATCTAAAATACAATTGTTACTTTTAATAACAAAAATTAAATAACACTTTGTCACGCTTAAATAAATTTATTTTATATAAATATTGATTAATATGTTGTAGAAAAATATAATTTTGAATAAAAATTTCTATTTGTATTATTTTACGATGACACAATCATCGAATGTGTTTTATGAATAATTATTAGTATTCTTGCAAATGTTACTTTAAAAATTTATAGACTAAATTATATTATTCTTTTTCTTTTGTATTATTCTCGTTAATTCAATAAATGCTCAATACCATTAAACTAATCGATTTCTATTCTAATATAAAGATTTTAAAAAATACTCTGTAATGTTTTGTGTTGTACAATTATTATAAAATATATTTAAAGTTCAGATGTAAATTAATTTGATATTATCTTCTCAAAAATATGTGCAGTTAGCTTTTGCGTGTATAATAGAGTTAATTTATTTATGATATTTAATTACATTAAAATATTAGTAAAGTAATTTTATAACGACACATTTAACTTTTCTACTTGATAACTATTATAAAATATTTTAATCAAAACTTTTTATATTTCACATCCTTGAAATTGAAAAAAGCATACATGACTATACTAGGAATATTAATAATAATAATAATAGTTCATAATAACATGTGTATAATTTAGTATTGTTATACTAAATTATAATTTTGTCTAGTTATTATTATTATTATTATTATTATTATTATTATTATTATTTTCTTTTTAGCAATTTTTTTACTTTTAGTAGATATTGATCTACTAAAAGCTATTATACTCCATGAATGTTTATATATTCAATGGTAAAGAATAAGCAGTAAGCACAATTCGGTTCTAAGCTATTTATACCATCCATATAAAGACAGAAAAAGAATGATTGAGTATCGGAAAGTTGATATCAGACGAAAAGTGATGAAATTTGACATCGTCGATTCTCTTTCTCAATCGGAAATTTTACGAAATAATTTTGAAGCTCTTCAAAACATGTATATCAATGCTTTGTAATCGCTATAATACAGGCGCATACAATGCTATATTCGAATTACATTTATTTTAAGAGGGAATAATTAATTATTTTTCCTTAACCGTAAAACTATTCATTCTAAAAACCATATATAAAATTGTTATGAAATTTATTTAAGTTACTTATTTCACTGCATCTTAATATACGTGATTATAGAATTTATATATTTTAAAAGGTATTCGCATGCTTAAATTAAATGGATTTTTAAATGCCTAGAAATATATATGTGCGATAATCATGATAATTAAAATTTTTTTCTATATGTTTTCTTTAATTAAATACACATGTAGAAATTTACTGTTTTGATGATAAGCAGCTGGTACTTGAACATTTTTTTGTGTCACTTTTATATTTTGTTTTTAACAACAGCAAACTACTGATTGGCTACTTTTTCATCCTTTATTAAAATTCAAGTATAAGTTTATTTAAGGTACATCGATCACAATCGCATATTAGAAGATAGTTTAATTATTTAAATTCTTTAAAATTTTTATTTTTTTGTAAAATGCTAAAACACGCATAAAAACACGAAGCATTGTCACGTTAAAAACTTAACTCCTCATGTCTATTTCAATACCTCTAAATTTCTTCTACAATTTCTTTTAAATCTTATAATTATATCTTTTAATAAGTTTCTTATATAAAATAATGTCGAATTAACCGTTCCCCTGCGTGTGAGCAAGCTACGCCTTAATTGATTTAATATAATTAAAGATGCTTCGGCATCTTTCATTTTAATGATACGCTCATTTCTAAGTGAAATTTATATGTATTTACAAGCATCAAAAATTCTTAAACTATTACTTTTCATATATTTCCAATTTTTTTAGTTGTAGAATATTATAGAGATGCATAATTCATCCAACAGAAAAAAAAAACAAAAAAAAAAACAAAAAAAATTCTTCGCCTCCCAGCGGCGATACATCCTTTTCCTGTCGTGTACACACGTGTATTTCACCTTTCATGTGATTGGCCTCAATTATATATACATACATACATATATATATGCATATGAATATATATAAATTATACATGTATTTGGTAAAATATCTGACGTTTCAAAATACCAAATATACCGGCAGCATTTAAATCAACGGTTTTTGAATGTATAAAGAATTAAATTATAATTCTAACATAAATAAATGTTAGAACATGATCAAAGATCATGGCATGGAAGCGCAAAACGGTGCCTTCGAAACTTCTCACATAATGAGAGATAATAAGAAATCTTAACGTCAATAAATAATTGTTAACTTTATAACTTAAATTACATTCTCATATATTTCAATCGATAAAAAGTTTCTATCAATTTATTTATAATAAATCTTAATTCCAAAAATATTGAATTGAAACTTTTATGCTATTACAATTATTTATTATTATCCCAAGTATTACACTACTTTTAAGTAAATTTAAGTAAATTTTAAATAATGTAATTTTTATTTGCACTTTATGTACCATCATATTAATTATTTTAATTTAGTATTTCATAATATTGCTATAAAAGTAAATAAACATTTTTCTTAATATCTTAAATTATGCTAAAGTTTAGAAGTACATTTACATTATTGTTGATACTTCGAAAACACTTACAATAACAAAAATGCAGGGATAAATTGACGATGATTTGTGCGTCATATTGCGCAGTTTGTTAAAAAAAAAAAAAAGAAAGAAAAAAAAACATTGATTTCTAATGCGCCTTTTATACGTAATTTTCATATCAAGCCTGAATTATTATTCTTATCGCTTGAACTTGAAATAAATCTAATACAGATAATACTACACATAGTTGCGAAAACCGTGCTGCTAAAATGAATTCATGTTTATGGTATATCACAACACATGCTCTAATTATTAAATAATTAGATAATCATTAATTACGATAATTATACGCTATTTTTTATTAATTATTTTTCTTCATCTCTTTCTTTTTAATACATAATTTGCTTTTATATACTAGTCGATAACTTACAAAAGTATAATTACTACAATTCGTGATAGAAAAAGTAATTGGTAATTACTATAACTTTAGCTTTCTCATTGCTTGTTACTGTAATACACCGAATTCGTACACCGAATATGAATTTTACAAATGCCTAGTGTTCACTCTACTTAATATTTTATATACTAAAGTGAGATTTTAATACTATATTTATGATGTAATCAATCGTTAATAATGTTCTTTATATTATTAGTTTAAATAATTACCAATTACTAAGACAACCACTTGCTAGCTAAAAAAAAATAACTTAATTGGTTTTCGATTGGTTTTCTTGTTTTAACTGAATATTTATTTATTTTAATAATTGAACAACTTGACAGTTCTAAATAAGATAATTTCATGAAACTTCAATCTAATGTCAACAAATACTATTCTTTATGCAATTATGATTAATTTGATTATTTACCACAGAAAAATGTACCTATCCAGGATAGATCGATACTAAAAATTTATGAAACTCGTTAATTTTTGTCTGTATATTTTTGCTTTTTATGAATTTTATTGTACGAACAGTCAATTATTGATATATTGAAACTAAGGTTTCATTGTTTCTTTACTTAGTAAAAACAAGAAAAGATTAAACGTTATTTTTCTTTTTAGAATAAATAAATATTAAAAAAATTTTTTCTTTTCCATCAATATTGAAGTTATATTGAATTCACCTTAAATATTCTAAATTCTTTGGTCTTATTCTGTAAGAATAAATAAACTCAAATATTAGCTTTTAATCAATGCAGTACAATTAACATTAGTCGAACCCAAACAATAGATCTTGCAAACATTGACGGATCGTCCTACCCACAAATAGAATGAACAAAAATTCTAGTGGTTTATTATGACGAAGGGATAAAAATTAAATATCAAAATTATTAAATTCTAAACAAAAGCAATATTATCTTCAATCACAAAAAGTATGACGAGATTTTTTTATGAAATGAGTCTCTTTTGCATATAGAGCTTATGTTATATGACTTCCTCACCGATTCTGCGATATCGTTTTTTTTTCAGTTTAAATAAAATTGCAAAGTAATAAAAAAAAATACTATTAAAATAAAAATGAAATTAAAGCAATAATAATAAAAATAATGATAATAATAATACAAGCCGAATTTTTCAACTCTCTCGCTCACTGTCATTTTCCATCTCTCTCCCTCTCTCTCTCTCTCTCTCTCTCTCTATATATATATATATATATATATATATATATATATATATATCTAACTTCCTTATTTTTTTCTCTACGCTTTCTGACACATAGTATGTACTTCTTTTTTTCTCAATTATCATTCAACAATATCACTCTACCCCTTCAAATAATCTGAAATCCACTCAGAGTCCATTTGCGAGAGAGTTTCGGCACTTCCTCTCTCGGCAACTTCCAAGAACGGCAAATAAACTAGGGCCCCCAGTAAGTCGCCATTCATTGGTAAACACAATTTGTCCTCAGCGTGTACTCATGCAGTTACGACGATACCAATACTATTACGATTTGTCTCTTTATTCGGGCTTGAGACGATGCCATTGTACGATCGTCTGCCTTGGTTTCGTTATCATGTCTTGCCAATGTTTTGTTTCGCTCGCCCCGCTACCATTTTTACCTACGAAATAATAAATATAAATAAAGGTAAATAAAGATAAAGCCAGGAATATAATATAGCTTAAATAATGATAATACACGTTTAAATAAATTACCAGTATTTTCACAGTCTATTCGAAATATTTATTTATGTAACTAACTATTCTTATGAATATTTAATAATAAGAATACTTAATAATTCGGACTCCTTTAGTTTGCGAAGCAATTATATCTCTGAATATCGATACAACTCTTCTTTTATATAATATTAACATTTATATTATATTTGCTTAAAATTACGAATCTAAGTTTTATGACTATCGTATTGATAAATTTGGCCTTAACTTTTTTAATTAGTCTTTTTAGTTATTTTAATAATCCCTATTCATTAAACTCTATAATTGGATGCCTAATAAAAACGTAAATATTCATTATTTATTTACTACCAAGATTAGTTAATTCTGCTCTTTTCATACTAACATAGAAATAAAATTGAATGAAAAGTGGTTTTAATGAATTTTCACTTAAAATATACGTTAGAATAAAAGCTGATATTTCCCACAGTATACTCTTTAATATATAAAGGTATCCATTAATAATTCGAATTGCAGTAAATTTTTTTTTTTAAATATGAATCTAGAATCATTTTCAATTAAAACCTTTTTATATTTATTTATATTAGACAATATTTTTTAATTAAAGCATCTAAACCCTTTATAGCTTTAAAAAATATAGTAATATTCAAATACTAGAATATAAATACATTTGGGACGAAAATTTGTTTGGAGAAAAATGTAAATAAAAATCTAGTTAGATAAAACTGGAGCAGAAAATGTCTGACACAGTTAGAAGAATATGAAATCGAAACAAAAAACAAGTCTCATTAAGCCAATTTAACATTTCCATTCGTGTATCAGATATTAAAAAAAAAAAAAAAAAAAAAAAAAATCAAATGTAATATCTAATGGGCTAAAAATGATAAAAATTCAGTTTATATAATATATAAATGATTGTAAACCTTTATATTTCACCCTCATTAATCTTCATATAATATTATCGTCATAGTCGATGTTCGTAAACGTTAATCAGAAAAGAACCGAAGCTGAAAACCCAATCGCCTGAAAATAATTTTAGAGTAGAAATGTAAAAGGACTTGGAATGTTATTACTTTTTTCTTCCTACTGATATCGCTTTTTATATACTTCATATACTGATATAACTGGAACACATAGATGAATCAATCATTGTAATCTAGTTTTAACCGAATCACTGAACAATGTTCCTTTTACTACAATTTTACACCTAAAATTTCTATTTCATATCAGACACAGATTTATTCTTCAGCTAGATGTATTGTTTTAGATTATTTAACATCCTTTTATACTTATTATTTCTTTTGTTACTAATTTCTCTTGCATATACTCTATCATAATTACGATACTTTTTAAAAGTGTTTCTTGCTTTTCTCTTTGTTCACGTACTTCTCCAATTTAGAATATTAATGCTTCTACTTAAATATATACGCATATTTTTGTCAATAGTGTTTTATGTGTTATGTCACATTGCTATTATATCCTCACTTATATTACATCCTCTTTTTGAATACAGTTTATCGAATAAACGATATAATAAATCTAATAATATATAATTGTATATCATCTTGCTATGATGAAAATACTTCCAATATAATTTGATATTTTGCACTTTTTATGGGGGAAATAAATGCAAACAATTTATAATTATTATTATTTCAACATTATATCTATTGCTTAAATTCTAGAAAGGTTTATTAACCAATGAAAATAATATTTTATATTTTATACTTAATTTCTATTATGATAGTTCTGAGTTTATATTATTAAGAAATATTACGAACCACTTCCTAGGCATTTTATGTGTTTTTTATACTAAATATTAGAGTAAAATATTTCATACATTATTATTTTTTTCTACACAAATAATGTCCCAAATAATACTCCTTTTTAATTTTAGATTTGTGAAATTACATTATATTAAAATGATAAAAATTAATGATCAACAACCTTTTGATTTTATTATCGTAAAAAAAAAAAATAAAAAAACATTTACATCATTATTATATTAATTAATATTTTTATATTATATTTTTATAATATTATAATTAATATTATATCAAATATTATATTTTTTAATTTTAGACAAATATTTTATTAAATTTTAATCTAAAAAACTAATATCACCTCATTACGTAAAGCTAAAATAATATAATAATTTAGATTTTATTGTAAGATCGTATACGGATATAGAAAAACAACAAGAATTTCATCTATAATATCGATATAAAAATTAAAAGTTCGATCCATATGTAATAAAAGTGTAAGAGAAAATACATGAAAAGTTATGGGGTTTATTTTATATGAACTATTTGAAAAAAAATTCCCTATAAATTTCATCTTGAAATGAACAATGGAAATTATTAGATATTATCAGTGTAATATAGGAGACAATATTTTTTTGAGAGTCATAATATACATCATATTTTCGTGTTAGAATAAATTTATAATTTCAAATTAACTTTCATAAACCCAATCTAATACAGATAAATCTCGGATAACTATTGTTCGAATAAAAATTCTATTTTTTATAATCTTCTGTATTCTCTGTAATGTGAATATTATAGTTTTTAAGATAAATATATTTAATATTGATATTTAACATTGATATATTTATATATAGTATGAATTTTGTTGGATAGTACGTTTTATTGCTTTTACATGTTAGTTTTTAAAAATTATATCCAAGAAAAATATTATAATTAATATTGAATAAAAATGAAAGATAAATATTTATAGTAATATTTGGAAATTAATATGATCCCCATAATTTTTAATTACATTTAATCAATATTGCAATTCATAGCTATTTGACATTTATATAATTATTTAATTTTAATTAACTGATTTAATCATTTAATATTTAGATTAAACTAAAGACGGAAATTTATACAACAGCTATGATTATTTCTAGAAGGAGAAACATGCATTTTCAAATGATAACCCTTTTTAAAAATATATAAAAATATAAAATTTAAGCTTTACATGTAGCCTTTGTGATAAATAAATACATCTATTTTATAAATAGAGTAATACAACAAATATTATAAAATAATTTTTTTTTTTTAATTTTATAAATAATAATGAATTCAATTTTACAATTATATGGGAATTCTTTTATTTTTTTAGTTTACTTGATTAGTTGAACGAATTACATAGAAAGAACTACGTTAAAGATATTTTAGGAATTGTTATTTTTTTTTTTTTTTTTTTTTTTTTATTTTTATTTTTTTTTTTTTTTTTTTTTTTTTTTTTTGAAATTTCAATTTTCTTATTGTGGACATGTAATTTTTTAATTATTTGATTAGTAACAAAGTCCTTCATTACAAAATGGTAGAAAAATGTGGTTAAATTACAAAAAATTAATTTCAATTTCAAAGTAATTTAAATTCATAATAAAAAAAAAAAAAATTACAACATTTAATCTATATATTTTACGATAATAATATATGTAATTAATTTTAATTTCATTTTAAAAAATTATCAGGTCTTTAATAAACTATTTTCCATCACTTTCTAATTTCTAATGGTTATGAAATAGTAAATTTGTATTAAAATATATAATGTAGTATAATATATATTATAATTAATAAAATTTTATTTAAATGCAGTTGATAAGCAATATTAAATGAAAAATTATACTTATTTGTTAATTAGCATATTTTGTTTGATATTTCCTTTTTATTTGATTACTAATTTAAAAATTATTTATTTACTAATTAGGGTTAGAAGATATTGAACTTTAGGAGTTGAAGTATTCTCATGGTTTTAGAATTTTTTAAAAAGTCTAATTTATATCAATGTATATTGCTGTACTGACAAAAATTATTACCTGCTAAAAGTATACGACCGATCAGCTCGTTGCGACCAATATTATCGAAATCCATAACCATGACATCCAATGAACATTCGCGAATCTTTTCCCAAGGGACATTAAAAGAAAATACCTCGTTGAATATTGGATTCAAGGTACACTTAAAGATAGGTGTTTTACACTTCTCGATCCTCTTGTCACCGAACTGTAGCCAGACTTTCACATAAGGATCTGAAAATAATATGTAAATTTAAAATTTGTCGATACCTTGATCCTTATTTTCCTTTTCGCTTGTAAATAATGCACAAATACTTTCAAGCTTTATTTCTAGATTATATAAACTTTTCGAAAATTACTTTAAAGTATAAAGATTACTAATGATAAATGTTGAATGAAATAATTGAATATTTTTATTTTCTTTATAATAATTAATTGTTATTAGTAATTTCAATATAACATAGATTATTTAATTATTATGATTAGTACATGTATCTGGATATTATTAGTCATATTAATAAAGTAAATAATAAATAAATAGTAAATACTTTTATAATTTAATATTCTTTTATACCTTACAATAATTTGTTTTATAACTTTAAAAAAATTTATAAAAATAATAAATTCTTTTTAAATTAAACAAATTGTTTCTATAATATTTTATATTACAATTCAATTATAATCTTTTAAATATTGAATATTTCAATTAGTTAAAACTTCGATGAAGTTGGAATAGATCAAAATATATTAAAGGAAATCGTTTTATATGAAAGAAATATTATTTATTTATAGTTAGAATAACAGCCACATAATTACCTTCATTAACAAAATTATTTTCCTATTTAATTAAAATTTTTCTTATCTAATTGTCAGTCAATTTATTTTTAAAATCATAGAATGTTTAAAAATATTATCTTCTACATTTTTAACTTATCAACGTAGTTGAACATAATTTCTTAATAATTATTATTGCTTTCATGTAAGCCATACCCAAATATTTACCTCCACCTAGCTTTCTTTTTTTCCAAAGTATTTTCCAATGTATTTTCACTGCCAAAAATGCTCACCTGACTTTCCGTTGATGTCCTTGGCCTTAAGATTTCGTGCCTTTAGCAATGTTATTGTCAATACGGAATTACTTGGATGATAACAAAGTGAGCAAAGTAGCTCACCACACTTATCCTTTGCCGGTGGTTTCAAGGCTTTCCAAAATGATGGTTTCTCCGAAAGATCAACCTAGGTAAACCAAGAAAGGCCGAATTAGATATTTCACATCTTTTCAATACTGTTCTTTTTTCTTTCTTGTGTATTTCATTGGTATTTACTTTGATGTTAAAACCATCTTTTTACGCATCACGATTCATTCGAGTATTTGCATTATATGTAAATAGTGTGTTTGTGTTTGTGTGCGTGTGTGTGTGTCGATTAGTATGTGCACTTATTTTTATGAATGTCGTGTATTAGGTTAGCAAAGTATTTGAAATATTAATATATTAAAACAATTTACCCTAAAAACATAATATTCATATTCATATAATAAATACACTAAAATAACATTTCATTATATAAATATATTATTATATATAGTACTCTTTATTATTAAACATAAGGCGTATATATATATATATATATATATATGTTCGTAGGAATCAAATCCTTATGAAGTAATTTTTAAAATAAAGGTATTGTGCAATATCATATCAACTGATTAAATACTGATTAAATTAAACTGATTAAAAGAGTATTAATAAATGTCATACATCTTTCAGTATTGAGGAAAAGAAATAGAAATAAATACTTAAATTTATATGATATAAAACAAGAAACTTTTCATAGCAGTATATACTCATAATTTTCATGAACAATCAAACTGAATAAGATTTCTAACATATATAATAATTAATATATTCTACCTTAATTATAATTAAATTAATAATAATTTATGTATGCTTCGATTACTTTTAAAAGAAATTTTTAAGACTTTTTATTCTTGAAAGTTACCAGAAATAGATATTATTTTATTTTATTAAAATTAAAATCTTTTTTTTTATAAATTTATGTATTAAAATTATAGAAAATTATAAAATATTTTTGTATATCACTTGTACAAATTTTATAATACACAATAAATAAAAAATATTTTCAGAATAATGTTATCCACTTTGGAAACCGGACATATATTATACATTTAAAATAATTCTAGTTGCCTAATTCAAGTATAGTGTCTTAGAAAGTAGTACAATTTATATTTATTAACATTTCTCTAAAGCAGTGTTTATTGCAATGTAGTTTATAGATTAACATTAATAAATTGCTTTAATAGTGTTATTTCTAATTCATTATATTAAATAACAATCATGATGTATATTACTAAGCATTACTTTATAAATATTTATGAATGATTCTGTAAATATTATAAAAATCTCTTACATAAAAATGAAAGCATTGAAAAGGTTACGATTACTGCAATTCAATTAAATTTCAAACAAATCAAATAAAATTCAAACAATTGTAAATATTACTGTTATTATTATATTTGTAATTATCTTATATTTTATAAATATGAATTTAATAAATAAATAAATATATATATATATATATATAGGTAAATTGGAATTTAACTTATGTTGAGCGATATATTAAAATATGTCAGATTTATTCAAAGTGCTTGAACATAATCATTATGAATTTTATGTATAATTTAAGTATTATTTCTACTACATATATTTCATATTTATTAAATTATTCAATACTTTACAGATGAATGCACAGTATTCATCAATATAATTACCTTTTCGTATTATTAGAAATTAATGAATTACCAAATATTAAAATTTTCATCTCGACACGCACTTTAGATGTTTATTAATACTAGTAAATTTAACTATCGCATACAGAACTTTTGTCATAATAATTTGCACAAACATTGTACTTACGAAGTTTTAATGTAAAAAAAAATAAAGAAAGCATTATTTCTTCAGGATTAATTAAAGTATAATCGGAGGCGACTGAGACTCTTCAACATTTAAGTGGCTTACCTGGCAGAGAGGTAAGAACATCTCCCCTATGGAATCATCCCTCGAGAATCGATCATAATCAAAGACGTGCAGATGAAGGACGCGGCTCTGTAATTTCTGAATAGGAAAGCCTAGATGAACAAAGACAATGAAAACAATATTAGACGAATCTATGGAATTTTATCCGACGATTCTTCATGCTCAAGTTTTAATTCACGTTTAGTTCTTAAGTAAATTTCGTAGAAGTGCATAAGAAAAATAATAATTTCTTTTACATTAACCTTTTAAATTGTTCACATAATTTATTCTATTATAAACATAAATATAATATAATTATTAAACACTAAATTTTCGAGCTTTGAAATTTTTGCAAAATTTAAGTATTTATAATTTATAAGTATAAAACTTAAGATAATTTCTGCCAGATGTATTACGAAAGAAATTAAAAAACAAATTATTAACATTATTTAATATATTATTTTATATATTATTATAAGTATAAGTTATATGTTAGAAAGAAAATAATTTGATGTTTTATTTTAATCTATAATATATTTATACACACATGGTACCTATTATTTTAATATTACAAAATTGTACCTTGGTATTTAACAATTATGTTTACAATTTATAACTACTATGATTTAAATAATTGAATAATTTTAAAATTTTACACAATTACAGAAAAATTTAGATAATATGAGATTATCTAATGGTATTCAAATTATATACAAAAATAGAAATCTAATCAATTATGTTATTGAACTTATCATGTACATTAATAGTTATAAAAAAAATTTTAACTTTATATATAATTAAGCAACTATTATTTGATAATTTGTTAATTTCATACAGAATGGATTGATGAATGAGTAACTAGAGAACATAAGTAGTTAATATATATGCATGAGTAGCCAAAGGAGACAGGTGCACATGTATACTAAGAAATTATTAAAAATTCGTTACGATGTTAAATAATAATAAATGTTAATTTTTATACTAAATATAAGTACATTGATATATACAAAGATGAATATGCGCTTTCGTATATTATTAAAAGAATAATAGGAGAATATAGATCGACGGAAAAAAGGAAACAATTTTTTCTTTTGTTCTCATTTTAAGAATTCTAAGTCTCAGTCATACGATTTTTGATATATTTTCAATAAATAACTAATTTTGATAAATATTTATTATCTAATTTACAATATTTATTTAAACACTAATTAAATTGTAATACTTTTAGAAGATGTGGATTTAATATGTCATTTTTTGTTTAATTTATAAAAAAATATTATATACAGAATTTCAATAATAACATTTTATTAATTGTTAATTATTTTAGAAGTAATTTATATTTCTTTAATCAGCTCCAAAATTTATTGGTAATATTAATGAATTAAAATTTTTGTATTTTAATACGTATAAGTAGTATGATTTTGCATCGTTTATATTATAAATTTATATCACTTTTAATATGCAATTTATATTTATATATATATATATATATATATATATATATATATATATATATATATATATCATTTGTATAAGTAAATTATTATTTTTATTAATGTTAAAAAGTAATATTTTTTTTAATATTTGTTTACTTTTTAATAATTTTATATAATTCATAAACATATGTGATCAAGAAAGCACTGAGATATTTTAAATAATATAAATATTTCATTAAATTTAAATAATAAATATTTTGTGAGCAATTAATTATCATTGACAAAATTAGAAATTTTAAATACTTAAGTATAATTTCTCATTCTATCAGAATTGTAATATTTCATTTTCTAACCTTCATCGTAAATAATTTGAATATGTAGCTTAAAAAAAAAAAGACCGTTACAATATTTTCAAATAATTCGAATGATCAGGACAATGTTTTAATAGCATTTCAAAAAATTTTCTTATCAACTATAAAAATTCTCCAGTTTTCTTTGGAAAATTTATCGAATAGCCAGTGAATATATCATCATTGGTTACAGAAAACAATATTTTAAAGGGAAGAAAAGTGGACATTTTAGACATGTTTTATGCTATCATCGAATTATCCCATATCTTATCCATAGTATATCTTTCCACCGAAATTTTGTAAAATAAGATAAAACTCACCTGCATAAGAGTGTAATACACTAAATTTTCAGAGGTTTTCTAAAATATTATACTATATTGATAAATTTATTTTTTAATATAAAAACTTTTTTTTATAAAAACAGTCATTAATGTTATTTAGAAAAAAATTTAAAAGATTTTAACATACAACTGGATATATTTTCAAAATACTAAAAGGTTAAGGATAGTGGCAAACATTAATCGCGAATGATTATTTAAATAATATAGAAAAATTTTACACAGAGTTTTAAATATTATGTGATTTTACTTATGAACAGTAGTGGAAGGAACTAATAAAAAACAAAATGTACAATATATCTATAAATTTTTGTAAAATTTCCTTGCATGATTCTTTAATTAAATTAACTGTATACATTCATAATTTTGTCTATAATTGAAAAACATCACCTTCAAAATAAAAGGTCTCGTTCCATCTTGGATTCAGAGTTCTCCTCTTGATTTTTGTCTCGAGACGATGTTTTTTATCGGGCAACAAAGTGACTCTTACGTAAGGATCAGACGTTCCGGACAGATCCTTTGCTGGTAAATCTTTACCCTACAGATGAATAAATAAAAAACGGATTGACAATTTTTACCATAAAATGAACGCTAGTTGCAATGACTGACTGTCAGTTTTAGAAGTGTAGATTATAGTTTCAAGGTATTTATATGATACAGAAGTTTTCGATGAAGGTCATAGTATTTTAATTTTTAAAACGTCCATAAAGAGAAGTTCAAGTAAATCTTATATTTTACGGATAAATTTATTTAGAATACATGGCAATAGGATAACAAAGGGAGAAAAACTGTTATTAATAATATTTTAGAATAATTATAATATTTTATATGGAATTAAACAAGATTGATTAGATATGTAAAAGAAATGAACACATTAGAAAAATAAACTCAATGCAGTCAAATAGAGATATAAATAATAATAAAAACTTTCGTATTTACATTTTGTTCATTTAAAAATACTCTTTTATATATAAATATATCCAAATTAGTGCAAAAGAAAGGGTTCATTTACATAACAGATGTCAATTAACTATTGTTAATGAATCGAAAACTATTTTAATAAACTATTCTAATTTAAGATATGAACACGAGCAGAAAATGATGTATTAGTACTTGCTGACTTTGACTTATAACTAACCAATATTTACTAAAATTAAATAGTTTATATTAATTAAGATTCTATGAAACGGAAAACATTACTTATCTATTAAAACATTTATAATTATCCTATGTAACTAAATTAATAATAAATATTTAAATAAAAATGTTAATAAAGGATGGAAATAATTTTAAGCTTCCTTAGAAAATGTCAACAATAACTAGTACAGGTAATAAAATATTGAAATAAATAATAATATATTAAATAAATATATTATAACTTTTATTTATCATTATTTGTTGTATTTTATATGTCATCTTATATATATAAAAATTGTATCTTCTTATACAAGTTAATAAATTTTTATATATAAAATATTATTTTGCTTATATTTTCTTTTGATTTGATTTTCATTTTTTCCTGAAATTAAATATTTAGAGTATAATAATCACCAAAAATAACAAATATAAGCACAAGAAAATTATGACCGAGCTAATAGTTCTAATAATGTTCCTGACTCATATTTGTCGTAAAATTTTATCTGATGTGTTTGAAGAAGCTAAGAACCAAAAGCCTTCATATTGTGTCACAAAAAGCAATATTCTAACTTTACTCGGATTTATGACAAAGATCCTGATTTTGGAGCTAATGGTTTATACTACGGAGATCCTTACATATTTTAATTAAATCTATGTATAAAATTGGTCATTATCATTATTATCATTATTATTATTATTATTATTATTATTATTATTTTTATTATTATTATTATTATTATTATTATTATTATTATTGATTATAAAGTAATTTTATTGCGATTCACATATACTTTTATAAATTTTACTTAAAATTTTGTCAAAAGAAGACTGATAAAAAATAAGCATTAAAATGACATTATCAAGCAACAAAAATTATTGAAACATCATATAAAACTTAAAACAATAACATGAGAAATTTAATAAAAAAGTACTTTTATAATCTTTAACATTAATAAGTTGATATCGTGAGTGATAAATATAAAATGATTTATGTTATTACTTTTAAAATCTCGTATAACTCAATTAATTATCTACATTAAGACCTTGTAACGAAAATCTCTATGAGTTTGTATTATTGTAATTGTATAATTATTATATGTATAATAATAGTAATATACTATATTTTTAATCTTACTTGTATTATACGTAAAATCAAAGTGGTACTCTGAAAGTCGTACTCCAAACTGAAGTGAATTTGTCCTACATTTTCGGTAGGCTCTGCGTTGTCAATATACATATCCACCAATGATATGGATCTGCTTTGCAGAAAGGCTTTCTAAAATTAAAAGGAGAATAAAAAGAATAAACTTTAGAATAAATTTACATACGAATATCAATATTAGCTTCATTGTTGTTACAGTTATTTTTTCCTTTCATTATCTAGATAATTCTGTAAAATAATATACTTTTCTGCAAATGTTCTAGAATATCTTAAATTTTATAACTTTCTATGCTGAAATTTATGTATTCCACTAATGCAATATTACTTGTAATTTGCTGAATGCAAAATTTTATAAGGAGTTAATTTATAAACATTTATAAGGATATTGTTCTGAATACAAAACTAAAGATATTGTAATAATTAAATAACTCAAGTAAGAAATGGAAATTATAAAGTACACTTCGGTAAACATAAAATTCAATGTGAAGAGGACAAAATTTTCTTATAAATTGTGTTTCAATCATTAAATTCATAAAGAATTTTTTTATTGTAAACTAATATTTTTGATATTTAATAATATTTGGAATTTAATGATAGGGAACTCTTTTAAGCAGATATTAATCAACTTTTTTTTTTGATATAACTAAATAATTGACATTATAATGATAATTAAGGACGTTATTTAATTTATATGTCACTTGTAAAGATTGTCGAGAATATTAAATTATATTTAATATAAATTCATTAAAATTTTATTTAAAAATGCATAAGATACTATTTCATTAAAATTAGTGATTTAAATCTTCATTTTATTGTTAAATTAAAATAAGTAAAAAAAAACATTTATACCATTAATTTATTATTTTACTTATATCTATTTTCTTCAACATATATTTATCACAATTTTGTTATAAAAATTCATTTCCTACATTCTGAACTCTTCTTCTTAAAAAAAAGCTTCTACATTTTATCAGGATTTTCTTTTATATTAAATTTATCAATATTCTAAAAGTATACGCTGATTGCCTTAATAGCTTCAGTAGTTAATTAAAAATTTTATATATCGGAAGAAAAAGTAATGACGACACAAACGGAAAATATTTCTAATACAGTTTTAAGTATTTAGCTAAGGTTTTAAAATGGTTATTAAACAAATCTTTGTAATTTAAATATAAAGAAGTCGAGTTTTGTATACGAATTTTTTGCCAAATTGCATAAAAATTTTAATAGAATATAGTGTATTATAAATGACAAAATATTATTTTTAAAAATTTATTCCAAATACATTTAATTTCATTCTTAATATATTTATCTTATAGTTTTCAATTTTTTAAAATAAATTATGGTGATTATAAATAAACACATATCTTTTTTAACCAAAATTAATTTAATGAATTTGATTCATGTTATTACATATTTTTCCAAAAATATGAAATTAAGAGTTGATATAATAACTTTTATTTAGTTTTGCAATTACGCATTGTTAGCCTTGTTAATAATTATACATTATTCAAAGATATCAATCGTTTATAATATATTCTGTTATAATTTATTCATTATTAGAAATTTTGTGTATTTCTAACATGAAATTTAAATTGGGAAATGTAAATCTAAATTCTGATAAAAAATATACAAACTTATTCTCTTTTTAAAACAAGGATAACTAGGTATCTAAATTAAAAACTTATGAGATGAATATTCGAACATAGAATTCTATTAAATATTGATAGTATAAGTAAATGTTCGTTATAAATTCATTATAAAATATTAGCTTTGAACTATGAAACTGTTAATTTTATAGTATAATAAAATATAATGAATTTATGAAAATATGCACTAAAAACTTTGGAGAGCGTTATTAAAAATATTATATTGAAAATAATGCAAGTTTTAAGTTTGGAAGATTTATCTTAGATTAACAGTAAGCATTTTTAATTATTTTAGAGTACATTTATAATAGTTAAATGTAACTTAAATTTTTTGTATAGATAATGACGAAAAAAATAATATAATCATTTAATTAATCTGATAAAAGTTATTTAAGATTGTTTGTAAGTGAAAATTTTTTATTAGTTTGAAATATTATTAAAATAAACTGTTCAGTCATATTAAGTAGCAGTTAAAATGAATATCTAAATGTCTAAAGAATATATCTAGAACTATTAACCTATTCTAAAAGACAATAAAGTAACAATAAATAAAATGAACTCTGACAATTAAATGTGAGAATGTAAAATTTTAACACAGTTAAATAAAAGAAATTGAATTGAATTCAATTCGACTACTTATATTCTATCTCTTTTTATTCTAAAGTGTTATTTCTTTTATAGTCCAAATTTATTCAAATTAATGAGATAAATTATAATTCTTATGATATATCTAATATGAAATCTATGTACACATAATCAATTTCTTATATATATATATATATATATATATATATATATATATATATATATTAAATCATTATATATATATTAATGTACATAATTCATTAATTGATTTTTTAACTTTCTTGCTTGTGTTATAATTATTGAAATTTATAATGAAATTACAAATTTCACAATGTGTAATATTTCAAAATTGATGTATTCAGTTTTTTAAAGAAATTCATTCGTATTTAAACTTCTTGAATTAAATATCATTAACCTTTATTTTATTACTGAAGTTCTACATTCAATTATTTTTGTCGTTAATTTAATATTCACAAAAATTGCCTTATTTTCATAATATTCAATGATAACATTTATATAAAGTAATTCGATCGATAAAGAAACCTATATTTGCTTTTACAATGTATCATGATGTCATTCTTTTTAATATAATTTTCATACACTAAATATATATAATTATTAAATTATAAAATTTAATATTCAATTTTAACTAAATATATATTATAATTTCATTATATAGTTAATATGAATAATTAATACAATTTTTATAAATCAGACTTTCATTATTTGCTACATGAAATCTAAGATTACCAACAATAATGGACTCTTCGAGAGTATCCAAATTGTATATTGAAAATTGAATTTTACAGAACCGATGTTACATTGATTGAATGTTTCTACTTTTTTTTATATAAGACCATTAAGAAGAAAACTCTGAATCTTTATTTTTGTTTCGCAATTAAAGAGATTTGATTCTATTATAAATTTTGACATTATTTTTATATAAAAAATAAGTAATAGTTATATTGTATTGTATATGAATAAGAAAGATACTAATAATAATAAAACGTGTAGTTGTTGTTTTTATTTTATAGGACATACGTGATATACGAAATCCATGATCTGACTTCCCGTTCATACATAATTGAAACAATAAAAATAAAAGAATCGTCCTGCAACATCCAAAACATTTTTTAATATAAAATATGATTCAAAAACACGATTAGCGCATTCGGTCAAAAAAAAAAACAAAACTGCCATTTAATAATATATAATCCCAGACTTACCGACGGATGCTCGCCTTTGACATTCTGCAGCTGCTTGTTCTGAGGTCCTGTGGTGGGCGGCCGCGGCTCGCCCCCTGGACCCAAGGCCGTACCACTGGCATTTCCGGCGGATGTACTGCTGCTCCCAGTCGCCGATGCTGGACCGCCGCTTATCCCCGCCGGAGACTTACTCCCAGGACTGCCTGTCGTTCTGCACGTTGCAGAAACAGGGAAAAATATGAAAAATATTATATGAGATCCATGAAAGCTACACGAGCATTTGTTCTTGACTCCCGATAGACGTCCCCTCGAGCAAAATTCCTGATATTATATTATCCTTTTGAACTATTTCAACGGTATCATCGTCTGTTACTACGTCGATTCCTTTCATATATCTAAATCTTCCATTCTATCGCTTGCTGAATTATACTAATTAGAGTATCATAATATTAGTGGATATATCATTTTCATTAAGTCTCATTAAGAACGCAATTGATTCGATAGTGTGAGAATAATATAAAAACAAAAAGTTGCAAAAGAACGAATTTTGCATGAAGATAATTGCCAATCGCTTATAGGGTCGATAAAAATTTAGTATGTGAGAAGAGTTTTGTGGAGAATTCAGAGGAATTATTTTTATTTCTGTGAATAAAAAAAATTAAAAAGTTTTTATACCTATATGTGTACATGTGGTACAAATCCATTTATCCACGTCCAGTACGAGAAGATATAGATTATTTAATATATAATATATATCTACTAATAAGTAAATTTTTAGTTCATGTTTAAATGAAATGTTTATATTCGAAAATCTATAATGGAGAAATATATATTGAAATGGCCTTTTTAGGAATATAATTTACTTATTTTATTCGAAAAGAATATTTTTCAAATTCTAAAATTGTAAATTATTTATAATAAATCTAATAGAGTCACTAATTCCCTAAAATTCAAACAACTATATTTTTAACATTAAAAATTTATTTCATTATTAAAAATTTAATACCATACATACTCTAAAGCTTATTTATTTATTTTTTATACAGTTTTTCAATATTCATGCTCAAAATTCGATTTAACTTTTTTTGTTATAATTTAAAAATAAAAGCTTTAAATATCGATGCTAATAAAAATCAATACTAAAAACTTATAATTGCACATACAATATACACTAGTATGAGAAGAAAATAAATATATATAATTATTCTTTAAATTTATTTGAATAAAATAAAACAAAAAACTGTTAAATCTAGTATAAAATCTAATTTTTGAAGAAATCGGTTTTACTTTCTATTTTAAATTATAAAAGTTACATTTGCCAAAATATATCATATAAATTTTTTGCAATATTATATGTAATACATAAGTTTATTATAGGAATAGTATTTTTTTTATAAAGTACTATCGAATATCAAATCCAAATATTGGTAAATTTTATACATAATTGAAATTGGAGACATTCTTTAAAATATATTGAAAATAAAATATATTAGAAATACAATACATAAATATTAATTTAATTATTTCTGACGACCTAAGATAACTGGTAAATAATAAATTGATTAATATTTACATTTAGACAGGGTTTCAACATTCTCTAATTATATAAATAACATAATCTAGAAGGATAACAAAATACATGTTATGCATACGAATGAGTCAAAAGGCAAGACAAAGATAAAAATTAACCGATAAATCTGGGTGAAATTTTTTAATTTTTGCTAGAAGAGGATCAAGGTCGCGTATTAAAAGGAGAAAAGTAAAGTATGACGCTTATACAAGAAAAACAATGAAAATCAGTCTTTTGTTGCAATGAAAAAATTCGTTACAAGAGATCATGGCTACTGTAGAATATACATCAAAAAAATTTTCCCATGCGTAAGATGATTATTACAAAATAGAAAAACTTAATTAAATGAGGAAGTTGTAAAATAAAAATTAGCCTGATTTGCGCCTCGACTGCCAACTCTTTCATTGTTATGTACAGAACCTTGAATTTTAAATTATATGAAATAACAACAACTTACAAATAATAAAATACAAATGCAACATTTTACTTTCTTGATTACTTAATGCTGTCTTTTGGTGTAAGAATTTTTAATCTTACTACTAGCGAATATCAAACATTATTTCCGCATAAAATATTCTCCAATTACTTATTCCGTGTAATAATATTATTATGAATCTTGTTTCTTTAGTTTTTCAACGCAAAATAAATGTTATTTGAAATGGTCTTTATATAATATATTTTATCTTTATAATATTCTTATGGAATAACTTAATAGAGTACGATGATAAACGTAAAATATATCATAGATTTAAAAATTAAATCACTAAATATATATTATTGAAGCTAAATTCGGGCTAAAAATTAAGTTATGTTTTACATTCTAACCTATATTATTTATAAAATTAGCATATAATTAATTTTACTACATTGTAAATATTATTAAAACCTCGATGTGAATAAATTCCATGTAGTTGAAGGTATGAGAAACTGAGTTAAATAATGTCAACGAAAATAGATTGAAATAAAAGCAAAAAGTTTTACGCAATAACTAAAAAATGTTTCTGTAAAACTTCCCGAAACCATGTGAAACATTGAAATAATCCATACATTAGGAAGAAAAATAGAGATATTAATTATGCATACAAAATAATATTAATTAAATACTCTTTTAATAATTTAATTTCTACAATACAATAAGGTAGACGCTAAATAACGAATAGCACAAAAATAGGAGACAATTGGCACAATTAATAATCAACTCTTCGTCATTTCATTTGCGCACGTATATCATTAAAACACGAATGAGCTTTAAAAAGAGCCGTAACGGACGAACATTCAAGAACAAAAATTAAGAAGCGCACTTCAAATATTACATATACTCACTCTAGCTGCGCTCTGCGTTACACAGTCGAGTTCGCGCATAAGACCAAAGCGAGGCGAGCGGGACATGGAACATAAAAGAGGAGGAAGCCGATTAGCTCTATCTCATCTTGCTGCTATTGCTGCTGCTATTACGGTGTCGCTTTTATCATTAATTTTCTATTTTATGCTGCGTGCAGCACAGACGAAGCATCATTTTTCTCCTGGGCTTTTTGTATTAAATTTTCTTTAAGTGTACTTTGTTCACTGACCCACAATGTCGGAAAGTCGAAAAGTCGTTTAACGTCATATAGATCGGTGAGTAATGAAAATTCATGTTCTGATCACCGATATCTCTTTGTCTTAAAGGCTTTGTTTACGTTTTCAGAAAAATTTCACAAGATATGCGGTGCAAACTAATTAGCGATTCTAATCTCCGTACTCCAGTACGCTTAGAATGCATTTCGACTAGTATTTTTTTTTTTAATATAATAGACAAATATTTATAATAGATCTTTGAATAACAATTGATTGATCCGTATAATTAATAATTAATGTATTTTCAATTGTCAATATGATAATAGAGTCTCATCAGCATGTATATGGGTGGGTACGCGTTATAATATATATATATATATATATATATATTTTTTTTTTTTCATATTCTCTTATTCCCTATTGATATATCACTCTTAACTACAAACTGCTGTTATAAATTAACAAATTAAAAAATAAATTTATATTTATGGACATCCAGTGGTAAGACTTTGTGTTAATTTTCATTATTTGTTGCATGAATTTGGCCAGGATGCATTTCAATTTGACAAAGAAAAACTGGGCTGATTGACCGAGTTTACCACTTCAATCTACATATTGTGCATACTCATTTATTTTAATGTATTACAGCTATCCATATAAAAGTACATGATGAAACATTTTACTTAATCCTAGCAATAGAGTACATAGATGATATATATATATATATATATATATATATATATATATATAGTTTGTAGCTTACTCTATACGCTCTCTTTGTATTTAAGTTTTAAGTTATTTTTATACTTTCTCTTCGTTCTACTTTTTTCAACCAAAGTAATCAAAAGAAATGTCCGGTTTAATTGTTCGCTTGTTTAACGAAAAAACTCAATTTTTAAATGGATGCGTATAATATGATATTATTATTCTTACTATTCCAGTAATAGTCTTCGTAAATTTTAACAAAATATCTATCTCTGTAGTAGAGTTTTTTTTCATTTTTACATAATAGTATTAAAACTTATCTTATAAAAAATTTAATGATTTAATGCATAATTAACAAAAAAATTAAAAAAAAAAAACATTAAATACAGCTTATTATAAAAATAATATAGAGTAAAAATTAAAATTGTTCATTTATTATTTACATTACAATTCAAGAATTTTAAACAAGTATCGATAAAACTTATGATTTATCCAACGGCAAACAATATGTTCCTACATTAAGAGTAAATAATTACAAAAATAAAATTCTTAGGCACAAAAGTCTGAAAACTATATTATAGCATAATAATGACATTCTACATTAAAATAAAAAGACTCTAATCTTAATCGTTAATTATAAGTCAGAACATTATACAATATAACCATTTATGAAATGCACCCCTTTAAGTGTAGTTACGTTGACATTTGAAAAAAATACTTATCTTAATGTGCATTTATGTTGAATAAGGTATATTAATGCTAGTTATTTCATACTTGATCGGTGAAACAATAGAGAAAAAATTTGCGTGCGTATAAATGTGCTGCTTATGTATATATTGATTGCGTGTAATTTATAAAGTGTGCCGTGCGTGTTCTGCTAAGGCAATTGCGCGGCGCTCGTGCAAGCGAATCATAATGATTGAAGTAATAAGAAGAGGACGGAATAATAATGGAAAGCATACTTTAAATAACAGTGAGAAAATGTTTATTTATAAGTTTAAGACCTTCTCCAAGTATGCATTTACTTTCAAGAGTTATACTAACAAATAGGTATATATAATGTTCTTTGATAATATTCATACATCTCTTTGTATAAAAAATAAAATAATAAATACGAAGCTTTTTCATACATATGAGAAATTTGACAATATTATTATCATAATAATATTAAAGTTTATAAGAATAGGAAAATGTTTACTTCTGTTATTTATAAGGAAGAAAATATTACATTAAAATTACTTGTAATGTTTAAACAAATTTTATTTCTTATATCGTTTTGTAGCAACTATTTATTGACATAATAAATGCTTCATGAAATATCATGAGAGCATCTTCATTATTTTATTACATAATATAATTACCATATAATAAAAATATATTATTTCTTCCTTAAATGATTTCTCTAAATGTTTTTTTCATACAGAAGTAGTGGGGTAGAATTTTATTATACATGTTCATGCTATGAAACTCTTCTAATTTCAAAAAATCTTTATGTCAATTGTTGTAATTTAGAGTTTTAAATAGTTTTAGGAATTATATAAATAAATATTTTATGAACATCATTAATTAATTATCCATATTAAAATTCCTAATACAATATGGCTTGATATGTTAATGTTAAATTAATGTTTTTTTAATTGTATGCAACAGTATATATATATATATATATATATATATATAACTCTTTCTCTCTTAAAATCAAGTATAGTATTATATTTAAATTATAATAATTTATATATTATATATATATATATAATATATAATATATTATATATATATATGCGTGAGTGTGCGTGCGTGTGCTTATGTACGTGTAACATAATAATGTATTTCAATTCTATTTAATGTCCAATAAAGATAGAATTAAATATTAAATTAAAATAAATTAAAACTATTCGTTAAGTATTTAAAATGATTATAATGATGATTATCCCTTTTTTACCTAAATGATTAAATAACTATTTTTATTCTTAATTATTGCGTGTTGTTTTATTTGAGATATAACTGTTTACAGCGATAGAATTAATTAATTATCTAGTTTTTAAAAAATTCTAAACTACTTGCAAGCTTAAAACTTGAGTTTATTTATCCTTTCTTTTATACATTTCTTAATTTATAAAATTTTTATCATATACTAGATAATAATTTTAACAAAAATTGTAATAAATGTTTAATGCTGTTTCAAAAGCAATTATATTTACTTATGAATTACTTTAGACAAACATTAAAGTATTAAGTTATATTAAGAAATTCTTAATTCCAAAACAATTTCTAGATAAGACTTCTTAATTTAATAAAGGTTTCACTAATCATTGTTGTAACTTAAAAGGGTAAAGTTACAATTTTTGGATTAGTATTAATATTTGGAAAAATTGATATTGTGCTTAAGCGTATGAAATATAAATTAGCTTAAATTCATCAAGTTAATCTGTTTACTTGTATATTTAACGAGAAATCTAACAGGTGTGCGTTACTATATACAGGTTTTTGCTTGCACTATTTCACTACAACTACCTATTATTCATCATGCAAGTGTGAAATAAATAGAGTTCGTGTCTTTGTACACTCTTATCGCTCACTAAAATTTGTCGATATCGTAAAACTGCTGCTCATTTAATAGTTATGATCTTTAAATTGAATCGTTTTTAAATACGTCATGCATGTTTAAGAGAATTTTATAATTAATTTTATGAGGCTATAACAATAGCAAATAAAAGAAGTATTTATAGAATTGTATATATATTTTTATGTGCATTTAAATTTCTTCAATAAATTATTATAGTTTTATTTCTTATAAAAGGAAGAAATTGCCATATTTAAGCAAGCCAGCAACAACAATCGTAATTTATCTTTAAATAATACAGAAAGTATTTATGTATGTATTTATACGTATAATTAATATTAAATTAATATTATGTATATATACTGTATGAAAAATAAACAAAAATATTATTTATCATTTATATCTGATGTGCGAATAAAAATATGAATTTTTTCAATATTGTATTTTTAAACATTCATAATTTTAACAGTACGTTAAATAATTTTACATCAGTACATAGTTTGCGTTTTGGAAAAAATAAAGTAATAGATAATATATGATTGAAATAAATTCTTTTATTTTTTTAATAATGCTGTTTTAGTAATATGGATCTAAAGTAGATATGGTATTGGCTTTAAAAAAATTATTGAAAAATAAAAAGCAAAATATGTTTTGTTTACTATATTTTAGTACTTTAAAATTCCTTATAAATAATCCACATTTAAAACTTTGTATTCTTTAAATTATCGTTAAAGAAGCAGAAAAGTGAGATTTAATTTGATATTTTTAAAAATGAACTTTTTCAAGTAATATTTTTCACTTTCGTAAGATGTCATGTAATATTCATAAAATGTAAATAAACAATAATGCAGTAAATAGCAATGTAAACTGAATAAAGTGAAAATTACAGTACTTCATGTCCTAAAAATTTGAGTCATGGATTATTGAATAGAATGTGTAAATACATGAAAGACCAACGATCATTCTAACAATTGCATCATCTGGAAAGTTAAATTGCAGGAGAGAAACAGTCGGAAATGAAGTAGAAGAAAGACAATAGAGGAAAGTGAGAGAATAATGGTGATAAAGAGAATACGTAGAATAGAAAGGAGTGCTGAGAGAGAATGAAGAGTAGTCGTTAGATTATATTGTGCTGGATACTCGTAGAGGTAGTAACGAGCACCGGATATCGACCGATCGCTTTCACTCGTCTGTGAGTAAAAATAGAAAATTACAAAATTACATCAAAGATGCATTATCTATCATTGATACTAACCGTTAAAAAAGAAATCAATGCCCATTGAAATATGATACTCAACGATGAGACATTATAAATATATTTTATCATTTATGTGTACATATATATTCGTGATAACCTACATTTTTTATCCTTTTCTTAAGTAAACAAAGCGTTGAATTATGAAATAATTTTAATTCGTATTTAAACTCTTGTAATAAGAATATCTATGCAAATTTCGAGGATTTAAACATAATTCAATTTCATAATTATTTGAATAAATTATTTGAATAA